TAAAAAAAAAAAAAAAAAAGTACAGTAAAAAAGGAAAAAAATACCTTTGCAAATATAGTCTTGACATAAATTGGCAGGTCTCCATGGGGACTTCCATAACCCCCTACAATACTAAACCCCAATCCTTCAGAGCCTTTCTCCAAAGTAATAATCTTAGGTGGAGGTGTTCTGAAAACACAATGCATGCTGTTTAATTTGAGAATAGATATTGAGAAGGAATTTCATTTTCACGGAAGAACACAGATTTGAGAGAGACTTTCATACTGCGAAACTATTAAGGTCAAATCACACTCTCAGAGAGCAATCTAGAAACATTTTAAAATTTCCCATATCATGCTGGACCAATGACCAATGGTCTTGGTGTTTTAGGGGTTTCTTTTTCATAAAACCCACTGTTCTTTATTTACAAATAAAGTCATGATGCTGAAGCTGACAAAGCATCCTTCCCTCTGCTTAGTTTTAAACTCTGAAGTTGACTATTTAAAACTGAACGGAGCCGTCTTTACATCCTTAAAGAATGTGCACGGAGGTAGGGGGTGGGGCATCACCTTAGCTTAGTGCAGACTGCGGGTCTGCAGGTGACGGCGGCGGGACAGCTCAGTCACCTGCCCTTCTTCCTGCCTGAACACCCTCACCCACCTGCTCCACCGCTTCCACCCTCCGTGGGGATTCACTCTTCCAAAGCCGCCCCCACTGTGGCGCTTCCAGGCCTCCCGTGGGAGAGTGAGCCGGACCTTCCTGGTGCCCCTTGGCACGCGGCCCAGATTTCCATGGGGGCCCTTGTTACAGTGTATTGTGACTACTTAACGATCTTTCTCCTCTATCAGATCATGAAGTCTTTTTTGGAAATTTTTAAAATTTTTTTTATTTTGAACTCTTTAAGTCTTAATCATCTGAGTATTCCTAGCACTACGCACTGTGCCTGTCACAAACTCAGGATCATGACTGTAAACAAGAACTGAAATCCAGGAGAAGAGAGAAACCAAGCTACAGCAAAATGGAGAAAGGAAATCTCTTTCAAACGCATCATTTCGATTTTCAGAGCTTCGTCCAGTGTGAAAGTCATCTCTCTCAGAAACAACATGGCTAAACATCAAATTACCTACATGGGCTTAAGGAGTTAAATCTAAGCTTAACACCAGTCTCTTATTCCAAAACGTGGCTGTCCAAAGGGCAAACACCTGCAGGACTCTGGTATTGCAGACACCGTCATCCTTCTTGCAGTAGGAGGCTCGTGCCTGTGTCCTGGCAGCATCACTGGTTTTGTGACAGCGTGCACGCCCGAGAGGCAGAGGCGGGGGTGTCAACTCAGCATTCACGTTTAGAAAAATTATGCAAAACTCGGATATAAACAAACCCTTGAATATGCTGTTCTGTCTGACTAAAGTATTCTTCCCTCTCCCCCTTCTCACTTTTACCTGGCTTATTTTAGGCTTGATTTTCAGCTGGTTCACACAGATACCAGCTGTTCGTTGAGGTACCTACTGGTTGCTTATAGCGGGCACCCATAGTAATTGCTGAATGTCTATGCCACATACATTGATGACTGTTTTGAATGCCACTCCTGCTTTTTCTGATTTCTTTAACACTCAGCTTCGGCGTTACTGCCTCCAAGTACACTCCCTAGTCGAGTGATGCCCCTCTTCCATGGGTTCACAGGACCCTGGGCTTGCTTACCTCTCTCACTGAGCTAGGCTCTCCTATACTTATCAGCTCTTTTATAACCATGGATTTATGGGTGTTTTTTTCCAGTTCTCTGCAGTTCCCTGAGGACTGGGGCAATGCCTTCACCTATGTTTCTAAGTTTGAATCCTCGGGATCCAGCGCTTGTGCAGTGTCGAGCCTTAGGAAGGCACTCAATATCTGCTGACTAATGATGAATTATCCCCTATGGCTGAATGGTAGTGACATCACAAATAAAGCTCTACTTTTCATTACTTCGTGGCCTTCCAAGTACTCTTGGTAATGACCAACTGGCTAGACATGAACTTGATTTATGTTTCCGCTTTCAAACACAGGCCTCCATTTCCAAGAACACTGAAATGGGAACCTAGATGTTCAAAGCCATTGTTTTAGAGCTAGCCCCGGGGGCCACCAAATCAATGGAGACTTTCCGAATCATGTCTATTCACAATTAGAGCCCTGTTTCAGGGGGAGAGGGAGGAATGCAGCTCCACTTCTCAACTGGCAACATCAGATGGAGTTTGCCTCCATTTACCTCACATTTTCAATTGTAATTTTTTGTGTAGAAGACTAGTAAAAGAAAAAAATCTCCAGATGTTAACACTGGTTGGATTATAAGTGATTTAATTTCTTTTAAACTAGTGGCTCTCAACCCGTCAGGAGCTGTGCAGCCGTGGAATCATTAAAAAAAAATGGACACATCAAAAAATGCTAAATGTATACTACTCTTTCTAGAAGGGTCTGATTCTTTTTTTTTTTTTGAAGGAAAGGGCCATTTTAACTTAAAAATGGTATACTTTCATGGGTTTGTCATATTTTAAGAGCATGCATTTATTACTTTCATAATGAGAAAATAGTAAAAGGAACTTAGTTTAAAATTCTTTCCTCAAGAAAAACAAATCCAAAGATGTCATTTGATGAAATACCAGGAAAAAGTTGGGAACGGCTGTGATCACCAGATCCTTCCAATAAACCATTCAGGTCAGCCAATAAACATTTATTGGGCACCTACTAGCAACCAGGCACTGGTGGTACTGAGGGGAATAAGTTAGGCAGCATTTCTCAAAGTATGGATCCTCTGCCTCTGTAGCAAACTCTCCCTGGAGAGGCCACTATAGACCACCCACTCAGAATCCCTGAGAATGGGGCCAGGGAAATTAGCATTTTTAAATATGCTCTTTAGATTATTTTTATGCACACTCTAGTTTGAGAAACACTGCCTTTAATGAGCAATTTTCACTGCAAGGACTGGTTTTAATGAAGGACGCCAGCACGTATTACAAGGTTTTGCTTAGGAAGCTGAGGAAGCCTGGTTCCTCGCATAATCAAGCAGGGTGCACCTGGGCTGTAAATCTGCAGCTTCTTAGGGGAGAGGGCGCAGGCACGTGTCAAAGCGACCAGACCAGACGTGGGTGCGCAAGCCCTGCGACAACAGTCTGTTAGGAACCTATCCAGTGGAACAAAGCTCTGTGAGAAATAAGGAAACCCTGGTGCTCTCTTGGAGACTGTCTACGAATTAGAAAAGTAATGCACACAGCTCCCTCCCTTCTTCAGGACGCATGCTCGAGAATCTGGAAAAGGCCTCACTGAGCTCTGCCCACACACGTAACAGGCACTCTGCATCTAGAGCACTCACTCTGTGTCTTCCGGAGGGTGTTCAGCGGTGGGGGAGCCAAGGTGGTAGCCTGTAGACAGGTTTTCAAGCTGAGATGCTATGGCGCTTATATTGGTATCTGCTACGACCTGGGGGAAAAGTTAGAACAAGACAACCCATTATAAGTCAGGAGAATTAGAGAAACCATCCTATATCCAGTGGTCAGTTCTCAGCTCTCATCTTATTCAAATTACCTGCAGCATGTGACACAGTGGATTACTCTCTCTCTCAAACTATTTCTTTCATTTGGCTTCCATGACACAGCACTAGTGAAGTTTCCTTTCCACCTTCTGGCCACTCCTTCCTATCTCGCAAACCTCTAACTACCAGAGTGCCACGGGGCTCAGTCCTTGAGCTTCTTATCTTTTTCAGTTCACCTCATCAATTGAAATACCATCTATGTCATGATAATTCCTGAGTCTGTATCTCCAGTACCACCTCCTAAGTAACTCCAGATATGTATATCCAGTCACCAGTTTGACACTCCTAATGGGATGTCCAGCAGGTAGCTCAAATCTAACATGTCCCACACTGAGCCCTACCACCTCCATTGGTTCCCGTAGCCTTCCTCATCTCAGGTAGCTGCAACCTCACTCATTCTTCCAGCTTCAGCAGACACTTTGGTGTCATCTTTGACGACACTTTCTTTCACAACCCCCATGCAATCCTCAGAAAATTCTATTGGTCTTCCTACAAAAGTTCTTTTGCCTGGAGTTTTACAGTAGTCCCCTCACTGGTTTCCCTGCTTTAGTCCCACTCAGTGTGTAGCAGAGAGAATGGCCCTGTTAAAATACAGGTTATTTTACTCCTCTGCTTAACACCATCCAAAGGAGACCCAATTCCCTTGCCTCACTTGCTGAAATCCTTACTACAAGGTCATCTGTAAGTGATCTGCCCAGTTATATCTCTGCCCCTCATCTCCTAACATTCTCCTCTGCGTTCCTGCTGTTCCAGCCATGCTGGCCTCCTTGCTGTTCCTCTAATATGCCAGGCACTTCCACCTCAGTGCTCTGCAGCTGCATTCAGCATCTGTGTGGCCAGCTTCACTTCCCTCAGGTCTTTACTCAAGTCCACTTCCCTGGCCACTCGAACTAAAATCTCCACACAACACCCAGGCCCAACATTTCGTATCCTGCTTCCCTGCTTTGCTTCCTTCTTACCACCATTACTATCTAGTGCACTGTGTATATTTTACCTTATTTATCATCTATCACTTCATATTGGAGTGTGTGCGCAGGAAGTTTGTCTGTTTTGTTTACCACTGTATCTCCATTATGAAAAACAGTGTCGGGCATATATTAGGTGTTCAATTGATATTTAGTGAATGAAAGAAAGAATGAGTATCTCTATGATTTGCCTTAAATTTTTATTGATTGATTTTAGAGAGAAGAGGGGAGAGAGAGAGAAATATCAATTTGTTCCACTTATTTATGCATTCATTGGTTGATTCTTGTATGGGCCCTGACTGGGGATCAAACTCACAACCTTGGTGTATAAGGACAGTGCTCTACCCAATTAAGCTACCCAGCCAGGGCCTGATTTGCCTTTTAGATGGTCCCAAAAGTATAGTAGAATAACAACATTTAAACATTCACTTTGTATTTCTATCCTGCAAAAAACAATTGAGAGCATTCAAAAGAAATATGGTATATATTTCTGTGCCCCTACTAGGACACAGAAAGGAGCTCTACTGCTCAATTTCTCCCTCTTAAATGATGCTGTGCCGAGTTCCAGCTTCCTCATCTGTCAAATGGGAATCATAAAACTGGTGTTGTCTGCTTAGCCTGGAGTTGTCTTCCACCTCAATGAGTTACAGAGCTTCTTTCTCAAGAGCTCCTGGCTACCCCTGATCCATGGTTCTTCTAGGTTAAAGTCTCAGTGCACAAGTACAGAGTAAAGGGACTTAGCCTGACAGCAGTGCAAAGGAGCTTGATTTGATTGCAGTTTCAGAATAAACCAACAGAGGGCACGGCTGCCTAAATCTGTAAGCTTAGTTGAATCTGTTAATATTTAGAAGGAAAGCAAGATGCAGCGCAGGGCAGCCCTGGCCCCAGCTCCGGCTGGATCACAACACATTTTGGCTGAAGCATCCTACTCTAGGGGGAAACCCTGCTAAGCGCGAGTTATAGGATCTTCTGTAAAATACTGTCATATAAAGAACGACTAAACCAATTAGGGGAGTATTCAGAATGAGAGACAGGAAATGACAGATTCCCCGTGAACACAAGAGCCCCTCCACTTACCACCAGCCCTTTTAATTCTCCCCCACAGCAAATGTTTTGGAGTTGTCTTTCCACGTGACTTCTGTAATCTCACCTACTCTCAACCTACACCATCTTCATAAACCCACTCCATTCCAGCGCCCATCCCCATCACCTGGCCCCAACGTCTGTGGCCCCTCTCTGGCTCTGCCCACTTTCCAACCCTCTGCTCTTCTACTCACCCCTTGTGGCTCAGTCCCGGGCCCACTTCCCACTTGCACACAGGGTCTAAGTGACAGCATACACATTCCCATAGCTTTAAATGCCAACAACGTGCTCACAATTCCCAGCCAAGTTGTTATATCCAATTGCCAACTTAACATCTGCATTTTAATATCTCAAGGGCTTATTAAAATTAACACAACCAAATCTGAACTCTTGACCCAACAACTGAATCCCTTCAATTCATTTTCCCCCTGTAGATTTCCACCTTTTAGTAGATGGCACCTCCAGCAGACTAAGTAGAAATCCACTAGTTGTAATATTGAAAATACTTGATTGCTGGCTGGTGACTTCCCAACTGTAAGGGGAGCTAGGATGCTAACCATGCAGGGGCCACTCTCTGAGTCTCAGCCTGATACCTCTCTCCCCTCTGCCATATATAATCCACCACCAAGTTCTCCGCAGTCTACCTCCAAAACACCTCTTAAGTCTATTTACTTTTCATTTCTATGGTGACCATTCTAATTCAATTCACCATGAGCTGCCTTTTAACTGGAATCTCCACTCATCTTCTTCCAATCTCTCTTCAACACAACAGCCATTTATCTTTTTAAATATAAAATGGATAATGCCACTCCCTTGCTTAAAGGCTTTCAGTGGTGTCTCTTCGTACTTGGAATAAAATTCACACTCCTTAACTGTACGCACCAAGGTCCTCCCCTTGCCTACCCGTCTCATCCCATCTATCTCCCTCCTCTCCACCCTACATTCCACTGTTCTCTGCTTGGAATCAACCCCCACTCTCCACTCCTTCCCCCCAAACCAGCCAGCCTGGGGCCAGCTTTAAAGTCACTTCCCTTACACAAGCCTTCTCTGGCTACCCACGTTTACATTAATTTCTTTTTTACTCTCCATAGCACTTTCGAAGTATTGCTCACAAATTGTGATGGGTATGTGTGAGTATCATTCCCACCCAGGCACAGGATTCACAAAGATCAGGGATGCTTCTCAATGTCAGTGTGCCTGGCATGTAATTACCTAATGAGTATTTGTGGAGTGAATGGATGAATCTAAAACCTTCCTAAGGAACAGGGATTATGACACTCACATTTTCTGAATTTCCACAGATCAGAGTGAAGAGGTTACAAGGAGATTGGTTTTAGGTCATTGTAAGAAGAAAAAAAAATCTAATAATTAAGGCAGTTACAAAATGGAATGGCACATTAGCAAAGCAAGCACTCAGACTCAAAATCTACCAGTTTGAGATGTGGTGAAGGGGATTGATTCCTAGACTTGGTGGGAATTTGGACACGTACTCTCGGCTGACCAAGAAACAGACCATCCGTTGAGGGGTTGAGGAAGAAAGTCAGTCAAATACTATTTCTTTCTAAGGTACCTTCAAAAGCCAAGATCTGATGGCAACATCTCATTTCTTTACTCATTTATTCAATATATAACAGTGCCACTACTGAACTGGGCACTTTGTGCTGAGCACTCTTCTGAGTTTCTACAGAGGTGGGTGCCATGATTATTCCCATATTACAGACAGAAGCACCTGAAGCAGAGAGGTTAAGTAACTTCCCAACGTCAGTTAAGGAGTGGAGGCTGGATTCAAATCCATGCGATATCACTCTACAGTCTTGTGCTATTAATCATATGCAGTGTGAGGCAAATCGCCTGGTGTGAGGGCACAGACTTCACAGTGTAGATGTGGAGCCTGGGAGGAAGAGGGGCAGAGAGAGAGTCCAACGGCAGATGGGAAGAGAGCAGAAGGTCATCATCCATGTGCTTGACAGCAGACAGAAAAACATCATCCCACTCCCCCCTACCACAAGTGAAGGCTTTGCATGGGAGATAGACACCCCACAGATGTTTTAGAAGGAAAGCTTTTTAAGATATATATCTATATGTTTGTATTGATTTTAGAGAGAGGAAGGGAGAGGGAGAGAGATAGAAACATCAATGATGAGAGAGTCAATGATAAGCTGCCACTTGCATGCCCCCGTCCCCCTCCCCCCGGGGACCAAGCCCGCAACCTGCGCAATGTGCCCTGATGGAATCGAACTGTGATCTCCTGGATCATAGGTCGACGCTCAATCGCTGAGCCATGCCAGCTGGGCTAGAAGGAAAGCTTTTTAACTTTTAGAAATAGAATATACTTTCAAGAGTTCATGAAATCAGCCATACTAATTATGAAACCAAAGTGATAGTTCATTTGGGTAAAAATTGTTTGCTTTTGTTTGTTTTTTTTAAAAACAACCTAGCTAGAAAATGTAAAACCACTCCTACAACATCATCTTGCAGAAACACTCACATCCCTCCAAAACATGAATGCCTTTAGTTCACCCTAGAACCCTGAAATAAAAGGGGCCTCCCAACCACTGATAATATTAAATCCTAGAGATCCACCTAGGATTCTAGGAGCAACCCAGGTTCATGCCTATTTCGTAGGAGTAGAACTCAAGGGGCTAAGTGGGAAAACTGAGGGTTTTTCACGAACAGCTAGGTCTTTTGCAGGAAGGTAAAAAGAGCACAAACTGGTCACCCCCAGATGACTTTACAGCCCCAAGGCATTTGCATCAACCATCTTGGTCTCTGAGTTGACTGGCCTTCCCAGGGACTGACTTGTGAAAGGGGATAATCTGATCTCGGAAGGGAGTGTATGT